CCGCAGCCCACATACGCTCTCCACGTCCCTTCCCCACCAGCCAGCCCGCCCCTCCGCCCCGACCGCGTTCTGTCGGCACGGCACGACACCCGCCCCCCTTCTGCTCCGACCGCTTGATTTTTCGCGTCGCAGCCCTCTCCTTTCCCCCCCCCCAACCCCACCCCGGCAGGCCCCCGCCGCCGCCCGCCGTCCCCGCTGCTCTCCGGCAGCGCAGTGCCCCCTCCCCCCCGGCAGCTTTCGCTTCCGAGTCGCAGCCGCATCATCCCCCCCCCCTCATCGCGGACCACCGCTCCCGCACCTGTCCCCAGTGTCCCGAGTTTCCTTCTTTTTTTTCCCCCAGCGCACGATATTCGTTTTGTCTTTGTTCCCAGAGCGAGATGGCACCACAGATGAGGAAAAAGACACGTCTCAAATGCAACCTCTTAGTGTCCCGAATTTCCCAAAGGGCACGGCGGCGGCGGCGGCAGTGGCGGCGGCGTCGACGGAGGTGGAGGGGGGGGCGGGCACGGAATGGCAACGGGCGGGGGCGCCGGCGGCAGGGTTCCCGTCGCGACCTCGCCCCATGTCGGATCACCCCTCAGTCGTTTCGTGACCCCGCAGAAAGGTCCACCGAAAACCCCAGCGACTGGGTTCACATGGCGGCCCCGCCCCGTATCGGCGCACCCCTCGCAAGAATCGTGGCCCCACAGGAAGCTCCACCGAATGAGGCGCCCACGACGCGGCATTCACAACTGCGTGAGGCGGGGGTCCTTCGCCGGGATAACTATTGTCCTCCTCCTCTTGCCGAGCATCCTGATGTGGGGGTATCCCCCCAGTCCTCCCGACGTCGGCCCAGTGAAAGTTCCTTGACTTTTACGATGGCGCTCGCCGCGCGGAAGACGGCAGAAGTACTGCGAGGGCGGCGGAAGCCGGCGGCAGTCACAGTGCGCATTCCGCACCCCATGCCCCCGTAGAAGCTTATCAAGGTAGTCTTCCTTCCCGGATCGGGTGGGATCCCGCCGAGCTTAATTCCTCTTGATGTCAGAAGCTTGACTCAGCCAGGTCAAACTTCCACTCAATAACACTAGGGTCAACCAAAATCCCGGCCCCTTGAGGGATCCCGCCGTGTTGGGATCGGCTGGTCGCAAGCTGGGGTTCGTAAGTTCACGGACTCCTGCTGTGGCGGGGCCGTCTTGATGCCATCTGCAGGCGATGTGCGCGCCGTCCTGTCGCCGCGGACCCCTCAGCAGGGCCTCTTGAAGCCACGTTAAGTCTTTGTGAGATCAACTTCGTATGATATGCAGGTCGCGGGACCGCCCACTGCGTCGACTTGCAAGCGATACTGGGCGCATCTTGGTTGGAGTTGTCGTCCGGTCGTTTTCAGATCGCACTCGCGTCATGTTGGGATTGTGCGAGCGTCGCTCGGTCAGGTTTGAGTCGCCCTTGATGTGCCTGGGTCCATTTTCTGACCGTGGGGCCGTCTCGACATCGCCCGCTGCTCATCAGACGGGTCATCGCATAGGCAGCCTGAGACTCTCAAGATGCCCTGTCGGGATCATGCCGGGCCATGGGGCCACCTCAGATTCGCTTGGAGGTCATCGTCTGTGGCCTGGGCCCGAGTGACACCTTGGGGCTATGAGGTCACGCAGTCATTGTGTGCACTTGTGCATACTTCCCCCTGGGACTTGCCAAGGAAACTTCTGTTGGAGCCACGTAGTCCGACCCTCATTGGACTCTTGTTGAGCATTCATTCATTCATGCCAGCGGAAACGCGCGTCAATGCCGCGCGCCCCAAACACCCCGCGGCCCGCCAACATGCGGCCCGCTCACACCTTGGAGGTGGGTGGAGAACCCTCCCCGGTCACGACTCCCAGAGGGGGAGGCCCCAGCCGGGGAGGCTGAGGGGGGCCCACTGGAGACCAGCGCAACCAGGGAGGGCAAGAAGAGAGGCACGGCACAGCCGGTCCCCCGGACAAGACTCCCAGGCGAGGGACCCCCGGCCGGGAAGGCTGGATTGCTCGTCAGGAGACCTGCTCATCCAGGGGAAGGGGCGGAATGAAGTTCCCCCAGGGCTCCGGTGCACCGCCAGACACCGAGGCACCCCTCTGGGGGCAGAAAGACTCTTGTTGAGAGCCGCCGCCGCCGCCTCCGCTTCCTCGCTCCTCCTCCTCACCTCAATCCTCCTCCTCCTCCTCCTCCTCCTCCTCTTCCTCTTCCTCCTCCTCCTCCTCCTCCTCCTCCTCCTCCTCCTCCTCCTCCTCCTCCTCCCCTACTTTTCTTCCTCGTCATCCTCCTCCTCCTTCTATTCCTTCTCCTCCCCCTTCCCTCCTCCTCCTCCTCCTCTCCTCCTCCTCCTCCTCCTCCTCCTCCTCCTCCTCCCCCTCTGCCTCCTCCTCCTCCTCGTCATCATCCTGCTCCTCCTCCGCCGCCCCTCCTCCCTCTCCTTTCATTCTCCGCCTCCGCCTCCTCCTTCTCCTCCTTCTCTCTCCCTCCTCCTCCTCCTCCTCCTTTCCGTCATCCTCCTCCTTCTCCTCTTCCCCCGCCTCCTCCTCCTCCTCCTCCTCCTAGTCCTCCTGGTCCCTCTGGTCCTCCTTCTTTTCCTCCTCCTCCTCCTCCTCCTCAACCTCCTCCTCCTCCTTTTCCTCCTCCTCCTCCTCCTCCTCCTCCTCCTCCTCCTCCTCCTCCTCCCCACCATCCCCTCAAAGTATCCCCCTCGCACATCCCGCTCCTATCCCTGTCCTGGGGTGGGCACCGTTGGGGAGGCCCCTCTCCTTAAGGCCAGCCCGTCAAATGGCACCTGCTGGTGAATCAAGGGGCTTGTTTGACACAAGCAGTAAGTACGCAATGATGGTCACAATGATCATCGCCATATGTCGTCGTCGCTAGCGTCACTGAATGATTTCACGGATGAAGGCTGCACTGGTGTCGAAGTCATCGGCGTCTATGCTCTTCATGGCGCAGGCGTGGTGCATTAGCATCACCTTGATTTGAGCTGCAACCGCAGCAACCATCCTCACAGATGTACAAAAGCGCGCCAATGTCTGAAACATGAGCGCTCGCTCACAACGAAACACAATCTTCTGAAAATTGCACCGAGTCTGTCAACCGAGCACTTCCAGCCGCGCGCGCGTGTGGTGTGTGAACGTGTGTGATGTGTGTGAAGTGCAAATGTGTGCCAATGTGTGCGAATGTGTGCAAATTGGTGTGAATGTGTGTGACAGCGTGTGTGAATGTGTGCGGAGTGTGGTGTGTGTGTGTGTGCGGTGTGTCGTGTGTGTGCGCGGGCGGTGTGTGTGTGTGTGTGTGTGTGTGCGTGGGTGCGGGCGTGTATGGAGTGTGTGCGTGCGCGTATGGTGTGTGCGCGCGTGCGTGCGTGCGCGTGCGCGCGCGTGCGAGCGTGCGCGTGCGAGTGCGCGGGCGCGGGCGCGGGCGCGTGCGCGGGTGCGCGCGTGCGCGCGTGCGCGTGCGCGCGTGCGCGTGCGCGTGCACGTGAGCGGGCGCGCGTGCGCGTGCGCGGGCGCGTGCGCGTGCAAGTGCGCGTGCGTGTGCGCGTGCGCGTGGGCGTGCGCGTGCGCGTGCGCGCGTGCGCGTGCCAGTGCGGCGTGCGCGTGCGCGCGTGCGCGTGCACGTGCGGCGTGCGCGCGTGCGCGCGTGGGCGCGTGCGCGTGTGCGCGTGCGCGTGCGCGTACGCGTGCGCGTACGCGTGCGCGTGCGCGGGCGCGGGCGCGTGCGCGGGCGAGTGTGCGCGTGCGCGTGCGCGTGCGTCTGCGTGTGCTTGTGCGTGTGCGTGTGCGTGTGCGTCTGCGTCTGCGTGTGCGTGTGCGTGCGCGTGCGCGTGTGCGAGTGCGTGTGCGTGTGCGTGTGCGTGTGCGTGTGCGTGCGCGTGCGCGTGCGCGTGTGCGTGTGCGTGTGCGTGTGCGTGTGTGTGTGTGTGGTGTTGGTGTGTGCGTGTGTGCGTGCGCGTGTGTTTGCGTGCGAGTGGGTGGGCGGGTGGGTGGGTGGTGGTGTGGGTCGGTGTGGGTGCGGGTGTGGGTGAGGGCGTGGGTGTGTGGGTGTGTGTGGGTGTATGTGTGTGGGTGTGTGTGGGTGTGTGTGGGTGTGGGTGAGTGTGTGTGTGTGTGCGTGCGTGTAGGTGTGTGTGGGTGTGTGGGGGTGCGTGTGTGCGGGTGTGTGTGGGTGTGTGTGGGTGTGGGCGTGCGTGCGTGCGTTTGGGTGTGTCTGCGTGGGTGCGTGGGTGTGTGGGTGTGGGTGTATGTGTGTGTGGGTGTATGGGTGTGTGGGTGTGTGTGTGTGCGTGTGCGTGTGCGTATGCGTGCGTGCGTGCGTGCGCGCGTGCGCGCGTGCGCGCGTGCGCGCGTGCGCGAGGGAGTGCGTGCGTGTGTGTGCGCGCGTGCGCGCGTGCGCGCGTGCGCGAGGGCGTTCGTGCGTGCGTGCGTGCGTGCGCGTGCGTGTTTATGTCTGCGTGTGTTTGTGTGCGTGTGTCTGTGTAGTTGTGTGTTTGTGTGTTTGTGTGCGTGTGTCTGCGTGTCTTTGTAAATACGTGGATGTGTGAATGTGTGAATGTGTCGATATGTTAATGTGTGTAAGTGTGAAAGTGAGAACGTGTGAATGCGTGAATGCGTGAATGTGTGAATGTGTGAATGCGTGAATGTATGTCTGTGTAAATGCGAAAATGTGTGAATGTGTGAATGCGAGAATACGTGAATGTGTGAATGCGTGCGTGCGTGAATGTGTGAATGTGAGAACGTGTGAATGCATAAAAGTGTGAATGCATGAATGCAGGAATGTGTGAATGTGTGTGGCGGGGGGGGGCTTGCGTGCGTGAGTCTGCGCGTGTCGCTGCGTGTGTATGTGACGCGTGCATGTGCCCTTGCGTGACTGCATATCCACATGGCTGCGTGTCTGCGCGTCTGTGCGCTCGTGTGTATGTGTGTATGTGTCCGTGTCTGTCTGTGTTCGGTGTCTGCGCCTGTGTGTGCGTGTGTGTGTCTGTGTCTGCGCGTCTGTGCATTAGCGTGTGCGGCCGTGTGTCGCTGTGTCTCTGTGCCCGTGCGTCTGTGCGCTCAACTACCTCTGCGGCTGTGTGTCTACTGTATGCGTGCCTGCGTGTGGCAGCAGCCATTTCGGCCGAAAGACCGCTTGCATTGCTCGATACGGCCATCCTTCACACGAGCTCCGTAGGCGGCGCCTTACGACAGCGAGAAGTGACTACGTGATTATCCGACTCACCGAGCACCGAGTCGGCGCAACGACTTAGCAGTCCGAGCCCGCATCTTGGAGCGGTGGCGCCTCGTGCGCGCCAAGCGCGTCGACGACGAGCACAGCCGCCTCTAGCGGGACAGACACAAGCTGCACCTGGAAAACCAGCCCTTCTGCTGGGATGACAGTGCTGTTGGAACCCCGTATGGGCCGAGAACTAGGATTCGGCGAGAATCCGACTGCCATCGGAAATCAGCTCCCGCAGCGAAACCCTGGCCTCTCGCCTAGACAGCGCTCCGACAAGAGCTCCTCGGGCGGTCATGCGTGCCCTGCCAGCGAGCTCCGCCGCCCATCCCTCGAGTAGGGGATCGACTACAGAATTGATCTGCCCCGAAGTTGACTGCTTCGTAGAATGTACGAAAAGTATCTACGCATCCTTCATGGATCCGACGAGAAAGTCAATGTTGGGGCGGATTGATTCTATAGTCGATCCTCTACTCGAATCCCCCCGATTCCCTACCCTATCCGCCCCCCCCGCACCCGCTGCCTGTTCCTCCCCCCACCGAGCTGGAACATTAGGGGGGGCCGGCTCGGGGTGGGGGAGGGGGGGGGGGAATCGGCCTGAAATTTGCGACACACCGCCGATAGAACGGCGATAGGCCCCCAATAGCGAAACCGTACGATCCTGGGAGGGGCGGGCTATCAAGCCCCTGTCGGCGATCACTGGTAGGTTTGGGATCGATGCATCCCCCCTGAGCACATGCCCCCCCAACATTGCCCCCGACGCCTCCATGGCCCACCCCTGTCTGCCCGTCGTCCCCGCCGCCTTCCCGCCCGGCCACCTCCTCCTCCCTCTTACCAGCCTCGAGCTTGTCCTTACCCCTGAGATTGACAAGCCCAAATGCGATGATTATCTTAGGAATGTGACCGCTGAAAACGAGGGGCTCCTCAAGATCGGCATCGAGGATGAGGTAGTGCCAATCATAGGGATAGGGATATGTTTCAGGCTGGCAGCGCGCCCCCGGCCAGGCTGACAGGGAGAGCGGCGGGGAGGGGAGGGGGAAGATTCTGCTGAAGGGGCCCAGGGACACACAAACAAATAGACACAAGTCCCAGGATTCCCCTATCTCGGAGATCATCTGGGTTTTAGTCTTCACCTCCAGTTCCCATATGTTCCTATATTTTTGCCCTGGATCGACGGTTATTTGTGTCTGTGTCATTTTTCCCCTCCTGAGCAGCAGGGAACTGGGCTGCACGCGCGCGGGCCACCGAGGCGCCACAGAAACGCAACGAGCGGCTGGGCCCTGCGGAGATTTTCTCGTCGCGGGCGAGATGTGACGACGGCAATGCGCTGGCAAAGGGCACCAGCGCTGCTCAGGTAGGCGCTTCTTGTTCTGGGTCATGGGTCTCGACTTGTGTCCGAAGGGTGGGGGGGTGAAGGCTGGCTCTGGGCCAGTGCTCAATCGATCTGCTTCTACCAGTCGCGCAAGCAGTCTGGGGGGAGGGGGGGCCCTCACCGGTCGACAAACGCAGCCGCCAAAAGCAGCCAAATGATCTGGTCGATGTGGGAGAGGGGAAGAGGAGCGGGGGCCCGCGCCCATCGGCCAAACAATGATTGAAAGATCGGCTACGAAAACACCGGCGCTGCTCAGACGCCGCCCAAATCTCTGATTGGATGCGCCGGCCGCGCTGGCTGCACGCGTCCTTCAACCCAAACTGCGCATGCAAGAAAATGAGGAGACTATTCGTGAACGTGCCCTTTACGCGGCACCGCGCAGGGGGGCGCCAACACGACCAGCACAGCAGGGGTCCGCCTCACTGCTCCGACGGGCCAGAACCACAATCGGATGCCAGCCGCACCCCCACCGAGATCGTGCTGGTTACTCGGCGGCGAGCGAGGGGGGAGATGAGTAGGAGAAGGCCTTCTCAGAAGGCTCGGAAGTCCCCTGGCCGTCTGAGAAGTTTTCGAAGCTTTCCCCGAAGACAGAAGGAACTTCTCAGCAGGCGCGAGGGCTTCTGAGAAGTCCCACCGCCCTCCCAGCAGGCCTTCTCCTTCTCGTTCCCCCCCCCCACCTCGCTCGCCGCCGAATTGCGATGGTGCCTCGAACTAGTCGTGACGGGCAGGGAACGCAACACCGGGCGCCAAAGAACGCCCAAAAACAGTCAGAGGACGCCCCGAGACCGAGCGAGACGGCCAGACGGGCTCCCGAAGGCTACGAGTCTCCACCAGATGCCCCAAAGCCCAAGAGGCCCCCGAGAGGTGCTCACAGAGACCTCCAGCAGCGAGGCCCGCAGAGGCGAGAGAATGACAGAGGGGCGGACCCAACCCATCTACAACAAGTGGCGATGGTGACGGACCCATTGAGGACGAAGCCGCACTCGAGAGGATACGTTGTCATTTGTGAAAAATGCATGGGTGGCATGTGCATTGCGCGCCCCATGGAACCTGTTTAAGGCGGCACCGAAGAAAACGCACTGAAGGAGGGAAATAAGAGGACAACGACGAGGTGGCGGAACAGGAGGTCAGTAGAGGAGAGGGATGACCATATATGGGCAAGGACCAGCACTACGAGACCAACTGTGTACTCCGCTGGACCTCTCAGGAGGTCAAGAGAGCGGCGGCGGTTTCGCAGTTGGCACCTTCCAGAAGGGTGAGGTCCCGTTTGAACCCGCGCAGGACGTCGCTCGGCTGGACCTGCCAGGAACTCACGAGAGCGGCGTCAAGATCGCGTATGTGGCAGCCCCTGGGGGAGGGCGAGGTCCTGCTTGGGTCCAGGAAGGACGTCGCTCCACTGGATTTTCTGTGAGCCCACGAGAGAGGCGTCCGCTGCGAAGTACGCAGCCCCCCAGGAAGGGCGGGGTGCCCTTTGGCTCCGCGTAGGCTGTCGATCCGCTGGTCGCCCATGCTTGGCCGCCCCGATACGCAGCACGCAACCCGTAGCGTGGCGACACGGAGCTCAAAACGTAGATCGAAAACGTAGGCCTGGCGCGACACGTTCGCCAGAACGTGGGCCAACACGTCGAGCCAGCACGCAGCCTATCAGCACGGACGTTCTGGACACGGCACGGGTTGAGTTCCAAAGCCTACGCATCAGGGCAGCGCAGGTGGTGACAGTTGCGCAGCTGGCAGCCCCCTCGGAGGCGAGGTAGGGGGCAGGCAAAAGATAGGCCCCCCGGCGGGCCCCGAACGGGTCCCCAGCAAAAGAGGCCCCCCTCAGAAGGCCCCAGCATGCTTTCTCAAACATGAGGAGAAGGAAGGAGCAAGGCAGAAAGAAATGAGGCTGCGGACGAGGAGGCGGCGCTGAAGACCCGCGCCAGTTCAACCGGCCTTAAACTCAATGTCGTTCCTGCCGCGCTGCTGGGCTGGCACGGTGGCGAGATTTGCCTCAGACAGCTGGATATCACAGGTAGAACCCCAGATTGAAACCTCAAAGCGCTCTGCTGGATTGCTTCCAACAACCTGGCACAACGCGCCACCACAGCCCACGTCGCTGCCAGTGCCACCAACAGAACGACCCACACCACCACCACCACCACCACCACCACCACTGATTTGCATCTCCCTCCAAGACCGACGCTCCGACCACTACCTCTGCGATCACATGTCCATCCTGCACGTCCTCTCCTTGCTCCTTCTGTTCCTCAACCGCCATCCCATCTCCCCATCCTCCTTCCACATCCCACTCCTGCTCTTCCGAATCCTCCTCCGCCTCCTCATCCTCTTGCGCCGCGAGAATGCGCTGACAAACGGCAGCTCCAGTGCGGGTGACGAATCCCCGTTGCCTCCATGAGATGTGAGATTCGCCAAGTCTCGGGCCCCCGCTGCGAAGAAACGACGTCGTGCGAGCGCGAGGCAGGCCAGGACAGGACCGCTACCCGACTCGAGAGAGCGAGAGAGATGGGGGGAAGCATATATATATATATATATATATATATATATATATACACATATATATATGTATTATGTATGTGTATCTATATATATATATACACAAAAGAGAAAATAACATAAAATCAAACACAAACAAAAACAAATATTAATATAAAAAAGAACGGACAGCGAAGGCATCCTCGGAGGACCCCCGACGACTGCTCGAGAGCACGCCGAGGGCCGAAGCCGGGGGGAGGGGGGGGGGCTCGCGGAGGGCTCCCACGGGGGGAGGCCCTGGGAAGCTGCGCACGGGCAGCCCCTGAGGGGCAGCTCGGGCAGGCCTTCGGTCGGGCATGCCTTATCCAATGGATTCTTATCCGAAGCCCTCATAGTGTTCAGATAACAATCAACAGGTACACTGGGGACGATCATAGTATCATGTGTTGTTGTGGTTTTCTTCTGAACGTTTTTATTTTTCCTCAAAAACAACAAGTTCAGAAGAAAAAAACACACACACACACACACACACACACACACACACACACACACACACACACACGCAAATGATAAGAAGATCGTCCCCAGTGTATCTGTTGACTGTTGTTTGAACACCGTGAGGGCTTCGGATAAGGAACCATTGGATAAGGAATCGAGGGTCTGGAGGCCAGTGAAACCCCAATCGTGGATTGGCCACGGATATCACTGCCGACCCCATGAGATGAGGGATCCTCCCGGGTCCGAAGCCTCCTGGGCGCATTCCTTAACGAACGCCCCCACCGCATTCCTCCTGTAGAGGGACATGCCCGACTCAAGGCTGGCCTCAAGAGGCCTCGCGGGGTAGTCCTGCGCGGTCTCGCCACTCCCGCGCAGCCGCACGCGTGTGGAGAGACTGCCCCCGGCCATACCTGGAAGGTCTGTCTTGAATCCAGCCTGGGCTGCCCACGTAGCTGGGCTTCTGTTCGCATCCCCCATGGCCTGCCAGGCTCCCCTCCCTTGCCATCTGGCACGTCCCCGATGCCACTGCCACCACCAACGGGAGAGCAAACAAACAGCGCTGCTCCTCCTCGTCCTCCTCCTCCTCCTCCTCCTGACTGTTAGCACGTGATGTGAGGCAAGTGGCGCGCGAGCATCGCCTAAACGTGCCAAATTCAAGCAGAAGCACGACTGCGAAGCGATGCGGACATATCCGAAACATGCCAGGAGATGCGGATTTCCACATGTGACAAGTCTTCTGTCCGGGAGCACTGCAGTTTCAAATAACCGCATAGTATCAACAAGAAAAAAGCACATGTCTGTAGCAAGTGATAGCACGACAGGGGGCGGTGGGGGCAGAAAAGCAAGAAGCAGGGAAGAAGAGCTCAGGGCAGCCCCCAGCGGCTAAAAAGACAGCCATGCAGCTACGCCAAAGGGCAGGCCAGCGGTCAGCCTAGAAAAGTGTTGCCACTGATAACTGAAGTGTTGCTCCTACTGAAGGGGCCTCCGTTCAGCCGCAGCAAGCTCTTGCCGCTGCTCTGTCGCCGAATGCTTCTGCAACTGCTCTGCTGCTGTAAGCTCTCGTTTCTGCTGGACTGCCGCTGCATGATCTCGGGACTATTCTGCCGCTGAAAGAACGGCCTTGGTCGCTCCTCTTCGCACATGTAGTCGAAGCGCGCGCCTGGAAAGATGGCACGCGCAAACTCAGCCGCGTCCAGGGCGCCACTGCCTTGTTTGTCCATATGATGAAATAGAGCAATGACCCGATCCTCGGAAAGCCCTATCTTCATCTCCTTCACGAGCTCGCAGAAATCGTCGAGCTCGAGCACTCCAGTATCGTCAGAATGCCCTGCCGCCTTGAACAAAGCGTGAATGTCATCGGCTGTGTAGCCCCACTGGTGCACCTTCTTCCGAGTCTTCGAGAGTAACAAGGAGTAGTCCCTCGCGTTCCACACTTGGTTGAACGTGCTTCCGATGATTCCGATAGGAGCGGCCATCACTATGACCCCCATAACAATCAAGACCATGACGATTGTGGTTCCCGCCGTTGTAACGGGGGAATAATCCCCATAACCGACTGTGGTCACGGTCACAAGACAGAACCAGACAGCTCGAAACGGCGATTCGAATATCTCTGGTTCAACGAGGTAGATGAGGGTGGCGAACGTCATGGTTATCAGGGCCACAGAGTACAGTAGCATCGGAAGGGCCTCCATCGTGATCTTGAGAGCCTGGATGAGCACGTTGAAGGTCTCAAAGTTTCGTAAAATCTTTAACAGCCGAATGATGGGCACGAAGCACAGCAGCATGACTGAAATTGCATCGTCCTGGCTTTCTGGGAGCACGAAGCCAACAGCTGCCCGCACCACGATCGCACTCGCGGCTAAAAGATCGATCCACGAGTTGGGGATAAAGAAAAAATTCACCCAGACCGGGGCACAGACCCAGCGAGTAACGACCTCCACCAGAAATACCTGGCGGCGGCTGCCTCCTCCTCCTCCTCCTCATCCTCCTCCTCCTCCTCATCCTCCTCCTCCACCTCCTCCTCCTCCTCTTTCTCCCCATCCTTATACTCATTTCCATCATCCATCTTCTCCTTCTCCTCCTCATCCTCCTCATCCTCCTCCTCATCATCATCCTCCTTCCCATCCTCCTCATCCTCAGCCTCCTCCTAGCTCCTCCCTCCTCACTCCTCACATCTCATGCCCCTCCTCGTCCTCCCTCCTCGCTGCCAACTCCTCCCTCATCTGAGCATTCCTCGATCCCGTGTCCCTCCTGAGGGAGGGAGCAGAAAAAGTAGTGGGGAGAAGGAAGATGAGAAGGAAGAGGATGGGAAGAAGGATAACGAGGAGGGAGGGAAGGGGGAAGCGGTGGAGCACGATGTCGAAAGTCGTCTCGACGATGGCAGCTGACCACCCGTGCAGGGGCGGATCTTCAACAGTCTGCAGGAAGGTGGCCAGCACACTGATGAGCACAACAGCTTCCAAGCACTTGGCAGTCCACCACGCCACTCTGCCTGACGTGGGGTCATCTAAGACCGTGTGGACGTAGTCCACGGTGGAGCTGCGGCTGTCCCTCAGCGCTCGCGGAAGCGACTGGAAACGCACGTTCACCTTCTCGATATCCTTGCTCTGGGACTTCTCGAGCATCCTCCTGACCAGGAAGGACTTCCTCGACTTCTCCTTGACGACGCTCAGCTCGGGCGCACGCCGGGAAGCCGGCAGCCGACCAGGGCCAGGCACATCCGGGGACGCCCAGGGCCGGACCGGCTTCGGACTCTTTGGGCTCATGTTGGGAATGAGCGGGCCACCGTCCACCGCGCTCATCATCGACCCTCGGCGCCGGGACACCGCTGAGCTCCTGTGGCTCGCGTGCGATATGCCTCTCGTGACTGCCGCGTCGACGTCGAGACGGGGGGAGTTCAGCGCGCTCATGGCGCTCGCGACGCTCAGTCGTGTCGGCTGCTCTGGCGACAGCTGTCGCTCGGGTGGCGCCAACCCGATGTCAAGCTTCCGTCGAGATGGCGAGTTGCCGCGGTCGCTCCTCCTCGGGGCTTCAACGCCGGAGGAGTCTGACGCGCCCATGTGCGTTGTCGACCTGCTGATGCCACGATGCCGTCGGTCTGGTGACAGGCTCCTGTGGCTCCTCGATGCTCCACGACGGGGAGAGCTGAACGAACCAGTGAAAGTCACACTTTCCACCCTGTTGATGTCGAGCTGCTGTTGACCTGGTGTTAGGCTCCCGTTGCTCAACCCTGACTCGCAACTGTCGCGCCTAGAGAAGGCCCGCGCCAGCGCTGTGACCGCTGATGGAGGCTCTATGTTGATTACTTCGTCTGCGTCTGCCACTTTGCGGAGAGTCTTCGTCGTCTGGGCCGTGTCCGTGCCTGGCGCCAGTGCGTCGAAAGCGCTGCAGCCAAGGCTGGGGCCACCGGCAAAGCTGTCGAGGTGGATGGCTGCAACCCCGTTGATCTTGACGCGAGAGGTGAGCCACTCGAGCTTGCTGTCGATCTTTTCTAGACGCATGGACAACTCCTGGCCGAAACCCGGCGTCGGATCGCATTTCGGAAACGAAGGTGTGCCAGGGACTTGACGACCGTGGCTGTCCGCCTCGGTGCTGATGCCTGCGGACAATGCCGCCCTAGTCGCATAGATGTTGACGCCGTGCGTGGTCTTGGGGCTGCTGGGCATCGGCGGGGGTGGGCAGGAAGGCACAGGCGCTGCGGGCTCTGCGTAGGACCTTTCCTCAACTCCGGCAATACTGATGATATTCGGCTGCATGCAACGGTGACCCTAGGCAGGAGCGGCCTTTGGTGCGGCGTCCCGAATGTTGCATGCAATGCGACAGTAGCGGCCTGCGTGCTCAAGCTTGCCCACCCCTCCTGTCCCCCGAAGGCCTCGCAGCACGTACGGCGGGCTCCAGAGATCAAGAGCCCGAAGTGGTTACCATCCTGAACCCGACGTGGTTGGCACCTCTTGCCGCCCTCCGCCGAGCAAGAGGTGCCAACTCCCCCGATCCTCGAGGGCGAGGCCCGGAGGCCCTTTCTCATACCACTCCAGCGGGTGGCCGCTCCTGCGTGCAGCCGAGATGTCCATGCGCTGGGAGCCGAAGCCCAGGCTGGGCGCGGGGAGCGCCGGGCGCACAGCAAGGCGCCTGGGCGGCGCCGACGCCCGCAGGGCGGCGCCGTCCGGGTCGCGGGAGCGGTGGCGGGAGGCAGCCGGGCTGCTCCCTGCCGCGGGTCTTGAGACCAAACGGCTGCATGCTGTGATGGCGACGCCAGCGCTGCGCAGGTGGGGCTCGGGATTTCAGCGGACGCTCGGCGAGCGCACGGGCTCCGGCCTAGGGCGGGCTGAAGCGTGCTTTCGCTCTGAGGTCGCTATGGTGATGATGTTGAACATGATTATGATGATGGCGGTGGTGGTGGTGATGGTGGTGATGGTGGTGCTGGTGATGGTGATGGGGATGGTGGTACTAGTAGTGTGATGGCGGTGGCCGTGGTCATGGTGGTCATGGTGGTCATGGTGGTCATGGTGGTCATGGTGGTCATGGTGGTGGTGATGGTGGTGATGGTAGTGATGGTGGTATGATGGTGGTGGTGGTGGTGGTGGTGGTGGTGGTGGTGGTGGTGGTGGTGGTGGTGGTGGTGGTGATGGTGGTCATGGTGGTCATGGTGGTCACGATGGTGATGGTGATGGTAGTGGTGGTGATGGTGATGGTGATGGTGGTGATGGTGGTGATGGTGATGGTGATGGTGATGGTGATGGTGATGGCGCTCGTAATGACCAGTGAGCACGTTGGCGGGCTGTCACAAAGTGCCCTGTAATGGGGCTGCTGCCCATGCCCCATGCACAGGGAAAGATCTCACGACATCAGCTCGGCAAGACGAGGCATGCGGAGCCTAGCTGCCCCGATACGCAACACGCAACACGTAGCGGGTTGACACGGAGCTCGACACGTAGACTGAAAACGTGGGTCTGGCGCGATACGATCGCCAGAACGTGGGCCATCACGTTGAGCCGACAAGCAGCGTGTGAACACGGCACGAGTTGCGTTTCAACACGTGCGTATCTGGGAAGCGAATATGCGGAGCGTCACTCTGAAGCGCTGCACATCGAAACGCGTCCCAGAAGCACGATGCGGAGGCCTGGGTGGTGGGTGGTGGTGGTGAAGATGCTTCTGATGAGGACTCCGATTTCGTGGCGCGGCGCATTGCCCGACCGCCGTTGCCTCGTGAGCACGAGCGAGAGAGACCGAAATGATACGATGAGGGCATTGGCATTGGATAAGGAACCCTTGGATAAGGGATCCAGGGTCAGGAAGCAGGTGGGACTCCAATCGTGGAGTGACCATGGATACCACCGCCGCCCTCATCAGATAAAGTGCCTCCAGGGTCTGAAGCCTGCTGGACACATTCTTTATCGAACGCCCCCACCGTAGGAACCCTAAGACTCCGAGCGCCCGTAGGCGAGCAAGGTACCCCCGAGGATAGGAAACAACCCCCACGGCCGCCCGCACGCGCAGAGACACAGCGGAGCGAGGCGGACCGAAGATCGAGAGCGCGCAGGACCTTCACGCAGTCACCAGGCCGGGCAAGCCACACACCCACACATGTCTTGGCGATCGCGGCCTCGCGCGCAGCGACGAGGCGGAGACAGTCGGTTGGGGAGCGAACCAAGAGCGCGCGCGGCCGGCCACTCAGAAGATGGGGCAAAGATCCACGAGGATCGACCATGCCATGAGCATGCCCTTGGCGTGGGCCGCGAGGGTGGGGGGACCGGCAGAAGGGAACGTGGGGCGGAAGTCTAGGCGCAGTGCAGCCGAACCGGCAGCGTCGCGAGGCCAAGTGATCATAACCAGCCTCGAGCTTATCCCTGTCCCTCAGATCGGCAATCTCAAAGCGATGACAATCTTAGGGATGTGCCCTTAGAAACTGAGAGGATCCGTAAGATCGGCACCGAGGTCAGGTGGCGGTGAGTGGGCCTCTGGGGGGGGAGGGCGTGCCCCACCAGGAGGTTGGGGGCCTCCTCAGACCGGGTCGGGCGCATGATGGACGCGGTGCGGGAGCCACCGCAGGGGGGGGCGCGAGAGTGCGCACGCGGCGGAGAGGCTCCCGCGTGGCACGGGTCCGTGCTGGTCAAGGCCGGGGATTCCCCCCCCGCCCGAGGGCAGCTGGCGCAACGCAGGGGGCAGTAGGGAGAGCCACCCGCATCTGCACATGCGCGGGTGTGAGGATCGCGGCAGTGGCGAGAGCCACGAGTAGGGAGCAGATGGAGCATGGGCCAGTCTGCGCCGCGGGGGAAGGCAGCCCCCTCGTGTTCCTGCAGGGGTGAGCGCAACAGCGCCTCGCCTCCGGAGCGGGCGCGAGCGAGGGCGGGCGAGACGGGACAGGTCCCGTGAGGCGCCGCGCTTGCGAGGGCCCTGGTCCTGCTGCGCCTGCGCCTCATGCGTAGAAGGCGGCATTCACCACGTGGGGACTTGTCCAGGCAGGTGGTGAGCGGAGTGGTTGTGTAGAGGCTGGGGCCGCCGTGCTTCCCACCCAGCAGGGTGGGCCCGTGCTCATGGAACCAGTCCAGCCAGCGCGTGCTGGCCTCCTGCGACATGGGAGCACATCTTGCCCGAATGGCGTGCATGAGCAAGACTAGGTCTTCGCCGGCGGCCTCATCCCTAGGGGTGCTGGCTAAGGGCGGGCTGGCAAGGTGCAGCCGACTTGCCTCTGCTGTCCCCAGGGTCCCGGGCCAGGGCGCTCACGGGAGCTCGACAAGCGGCGCGGGCGCGTGGGTGGTGGAGGTCGAGCGGGCGAGTGCCAGGATCCGGGAGACGCAAAGTGCCGCTCGGGTGCGCGAACGAGTTCTGCAGGGAAGGAGCCCGTGGAGGCCCGTCGGGCAGGAGGCGGTGCACCCCTGGCACTGTGGGCGATGGCTCCGACGGGTGCCTGGGAGTGCCGCTGCGCCTTGGCCTATGGCGGGCCTTGAGGGTGGTCGGGCCCTTCGCACCCCTCGCGGAGGGGGCACCGCGGGCCTGCCAGCAAGGGAGATGGACTTGACGGCCGTGGGGCCCACACGCACACACACACACACACACACACACACACACACACGCGCGCGCGCGCACGCACGCACGCACGCGTCTCGCCGCACGCACGAACGAAACACACACACAACACCACACACACACACACACACACTCAGGCCGCAGTCACGCACGCACGCACGCACGCACGCACGCACGCACGCACGCACGCACGCACGCACGCACGCACGCACGCACGCACGCACGCACGCACGCACTCACGCACGCACGCACGCACGCACACACACACACACACACACACACACACACACACACACACACACACACACACACACACCACACACGCACGCGCACGCACGCACGCACGCACGCACGCACGCCCGAGCACGCACGCACGCAAGCACGCACGCAC